TAGAAGGGCTCAGGTGACAAAATGAGACAAGTACGAGGGTCTCCCAGACCATTCTGTCTAAATTAATTATGTTAATTCATCTTATTTTGATTTTAGTCAGATTCACAAATTAGTTCGATTTGACTATGATTGACACTTCAATTTTATTTACAATTATATTGTAGCCTTTTCCTCACCTTATTTTCAACCCAATTTATAAGACCAAGAATTTTGGGCCACCTTTCAACAACTCAATGCTAATCAATCAGTGACCCAAGTCCATTTTCCCAATTCCAACCTCTCCAATCCAACAATCCACCAACTCCCAAACCATTTTCCCCTCTTGTTTTCCAATTCAACCGAGCCCAACCCATCTCAATTACCCCCGAACCGTCCCAATCCTGTGTTCTTAAAAAAATCTCAGACGCGTGAACACCACAACGATATCCAAACGCCAGAAGACGGAAAGCAGCCTAACGACCACATTTCTTCCGACGGCGTCTCATGTCTTACAACAATAGTCTACTATGTGAGCAAACAGCAAGCAACGGTCCCAAACGGCGTCAATTGCGCGTGACCCGTACAACTATGCTTCGTCACCCCTAGATTTGTACATCTTTAGTCGTATAACAAAGGAAACGCCGTTCCAGGCCTGCCAACTGCATTTTCCGTCCTTGGCTCGCGTGGATTGGCGCCACGTCAAGCTTCAAGGACAAAGAATCAATCGGAGCCGCTCGCGTCGACATCACTTTTGATTTTATTTTGGCTGAAAATCCAAATTTCTAGTACAACAACTTTTTTCGTTCTTGGAAGGAAAAAAATTGAATTTGTAAAAGGTTGGGGGATTTCGATTTTGCCCCTATTCCTATCCGAAAATTCTTCATCCTCCCCCTCCCTCCCAAATCTACCCTAATTTCCCATATATATATAACCCCTCTTTAGTCATTGTTAGGGGTTAGAGATTTTTTGGGCAAAATACAGAGAGTAGTTTTAAGCAAAAAAATAGTTTAGATATACTCGAAATACTTTCCGGGATAGAGAACTTGCTCGAATTTCTGTTTAAGTTCCCTGTTCGTTGTTCATGTTCTGGTTCTCGCAGTGGTAAAGTCGTCTTTAGCTCGCTTGTCTTCGGTTCGTTGCCCCCAAAAAGGTAATACTCCATTTTTTATTTTGATTTCTTTCGTCGTGAACTAATAGTTGCATAGTTCCATGGTTTGATGTTGTAATGTTCCTGTTTAACTGATTTGAGAACTGTTTACTTTTTTTATCGTTGCGAGTTATTCGAATGTTAGGATTTTGAGAACATCTTGACTTGGCGTCGACTTTAATCAGTGTTGTAACTCGTTTGTGATTCAAAATGTTGCTGTTTCGTTTATCTGAAGTTTTGATGTTCCTATCTGATGTTGAGTTATTTGCTCCCTGTTAAGGTCTTTTTCTTGCTGATATCTTTTATGGTTGACTTTGAGTCGTATTTCAATCTAAAAGTTTTGAATATAGTTAGCTTGTTTTCTCAGTTTGATATGTGGGGGGATTCCTCGTTTTTTTAAGCTAGCAAATCATGTGAATAGAATAGTTGACTATCCCATCTCCCCTTTATGGTGTCTGCTCTTTCCATATTCAAAACTGAGTATCTTAGCCCATCTGTTAGTCAATTGGGTCTCTAAAATCATGCTTATGATAATATCAGTCGTGTACTCTTTATTATCTTTCATGTCGGGTTAGCTTTTGATGAGTTTGCTTAAGGTAAAGTGAGTGAAAATGATGTCGACAAGCCGTTTATTTCAAACTACCTGAATTTGATTTCGTTTGTGGTTCTCGTTTCTCGTTAAAAAAGTTCCTCCTGCTCCGGTAAGGTTCTGTTCGTGTAGTTTAGTCTCTTCACATGTGAATCATGCTAAGACGGATTTCTTAACAATTGTCCTTGAGTTAGTTTCGATTCAAAATATTTGGTTGTCTCTTTCTTCCTTTCCCTGTTGTTTGAGGGCTCTTATTTTTGTCTTTCTTGCACAAATCTTTATCATCTTTTACTTGATAATTTTGCTTAAATGAATTATTGGTTGCAGTTGAGTTAGTGAAAATTTTGAGCCTCTTGACATTTCCTTTCCTCCCTAGTTTTCTAGCCTATTTCGAGTTGCAAATTATTGCCTACTCTTTAGTTGTTTATATATTTTGCCTTGTTTTCTCTAAATTTGATGTGTAGCCTTATTGTCTGATTAAGTATTCTAGGATCAGAATGAGGCACTGGTTATGTTCCATCCTAATTAGTCCGGGTTGATCCATGTTGTGTGATATTTTAAGTTTGAATAAATAAATTGCTCTCAATATCTATTTTTGTCCATTCTGATACTATCATATGTTAGTCTTATTCTTGTCCTCATGGCATATTGACAACATAAAAAACGTTTATTGATGTTTTTCTATGGCAGTAGCTTGCTAGCTTGTTGTAGTGTCACTATTTAATGAAAACTTTAAGTATTTTGATTAAAGGTTGTCGACTTAGTTATCGTTTTAAAAACTAATAGCATGCATTTATTATCTCTTACTTATTTGGTTGTTTAGTCATTTAGGTGTGACTGTCTCTTTTCCCTATTTATAAGTATGTTACCAAGCTGTCACACTGATGTGTTTAGTGCCTCTCTTGTGCACTTCTTCAAAATTTGTTGTTTTCCAATATACCTCTTTACGATCTCATTTATCGGATTATTTGTTAGTTTTCTTGAGTCAAGGTGTATATATTTTATTATTTGACACTTTTTTTTTATTTCTATTTATATTAGATTGTGTATTAATCCTTTGCCCTTTTCTTTCGTTGCATGTGAAATTTGTTTGAGTTTACTATGAACTCATCCTCCTCCTTTACATTTCGAGAGAGCCATAAAGGCTCCAAATTCCTACTGTCGAGTCAGCCAACAAGAAAATTTGATGAACAAGTCCCTCAAAAATTGATGGAAAGGAATTGGAGTCAATACATCAAGAATATACAACAATATACACCAAGTGTATATGTTGTGTATTGAGATAGAATGGGGCCCAAAAGCCGATCTCTTTACCCTAGGTCGTATTTTGTTATTTTGGGCCTAAGCCCTTGTCATTTTAATTGTTATTATTGTATTAGTTTAGGACAGGTGGAGGAATTGGGCCTAAGGCCCAAATAGAAAATATTTTTATTATGTGAGAATAGGACATGTATAAATGACTTAAATGGGCCAAAGACCCAAAACTGAAATTAGGCCTAAGTACTGGTCCAGACAGACATGAAAATCAGATTTGGGCCCAAGTCTCTCTCTTTATTTTATTGTGTTTGTTTATTTGTTAATAATTGCTATCGATTTTAAGGTTTCAAAAATTCAAACCCCCAGAAGACACCCATTTTGAATTAACTACTTAACTAAATTATTCATTTTTCACTTGACTTAAAAGATAATTTTGCTAAAGATCCTACTTAGGTAATATCCCAATTCTCCCCATTTTTCCCTTCTAAAGTGACCTCAACTATAAAAATGGTTCAATCTTTCAATTCAAGTTAAGTTAAATTACTTTAGCCAAATAATTAATTGTCGGATAACCGCGTATTAGCGGACATTTCGGGTGCTTTCAAACCCTTCCCGAAATGCTAATATGAACCCCGAACCCCTTTGAATACTTTCATTAGATTTTTGTTTTAATCTTTTGAAAAAATAGTTTTCTTGATTTTATTTTAAAAATTAAGTGACGACTCTTGAAACCAATCTAATTCATTTTTAAATAAAACAAGTGTCACAAAAAAAAATTATTTGTATATTTAATAATGCTTGATAAAATCACAATCAAATAAAATTGTTTCAACTTATTAAATAGTATACTAGGGATTTCCTTTCAAACTAATGGAGCAAAACAATCTAAAATGCTTTTTCTTAAGTAATAATATCAACTGTATAAATAGAAAAACAAAGCGCCTGTAGCTCAGTGGATAGAGCGTCTGTTTCCTAAGCAGAAAGTCGTAGGTTCGACCCCTATCTGGCGCGTTATTCATTACTTTTTTTTTTATATATAAATTTTTCAATTCCTTTTGTTTATTAGGTGCATTATATTTCAATTTATGTCGATCAAATTAAACTCTATATAAATAGTGTTTTCTACACAATTTACTCCATTCTGTTTGAATTGTCTTTTTAGCTTTTTTCACGCTCATTAGAAAAACTATACATACACTTGTACCATATTATAGGCTCAATTATGATGTTGCATTATCAAATAAGTTATTTTATATCGGCGGTATAAAGATCTTAAAATTACATTAACATTTTATCCACTAAACATAACTCATTGTTTGAATTATCTTTCTTTACTCCTTCCATCCCATTTTATGTGACACTTTTTGGATTTCGAGATTCAAGCTAGTCTATCTTTGACCGTAAGTCTTCATAGATCTTTTAAACATTTTGAATTATCAATTATTGTGACTTATAGTACTTTTTACGTAGTTTACAAATATATAAATTTCATTTAAAAAAATTAAACATTCCGTGTGCAAATTGCCGATCAAACTTAAACTGTTTGACTCTCAAAAAATGAAAAGTGCCACATAAATTGGGACAGATGGAGTAGCTTTTTTCAAGCTCATTAAAACAATTACTATATATACACTTACACCATATTATAGACTCAATTACGATGTTTCAGTATCAAATAAGTCTGTAAACATGATTTATATCGCCGGTACATAGATCTTAAAAATCCATTAACATTTTACCTACTAAACATAACTCAAAACTGAAAATGAAACACTCATGATGATTGAAACTCATGACACATGTTGCTCACTTAATTTAAAACTATTGAAAATTTGTTTTTAGAAAAAGAAAACTCAAGGCATGTGCTCTTCATCATTCTCATAGTTCACAAAGTTGTTGTTGCTTAACTCATTGTTACCAATATAGGAGTTTGCAAATTCTCTTGATTTTTCATATGGATTCTTGACATACTTCATTGTGTTGGGACTTTGTTCTTGATTGTTGTAATATAAATTATTGCCACCATTCTTGTAGGAGGTGGCGGTCGCGTAGCCTTTGTTTAATCTTGGCTCATTCATGTCCTGCAACTGATCTTTTTTGATGTAGTAGTATTCGCGGCCATCACCATTTAGGTATGACTGTGGAAGTGGTCATGACCTAAATCCAAATTATAATAAGAGGCTTTGAACTTATTTCATAAAATTCATATACTAATGAAACAGAGAAAGACTAATTGAAAATATTTGAGCTTTTATACTTTTGTTATTTAATGGCCTTACCTTAGAGCCAGCCCTGCCACCATTGTGATATTGGTCGTTATAGGTGTTGACACTGTTGTAGTACTGATTATTGTTGTTGTTGTTGTCGTCATTATTGTCACTTTTGTAGTAGTGGTCGTAAGTGTTGCCATTAATATAATACTCATTATTATTGTTGTTGTTATAAGTATTGTCACCTATATAATAGTGGTCGTGATCAGAACTAATACCACGACCACTATTATAGCGCTGGTTGTTACTATTCATGGTGTTGGTTTCATCAGTGTTGTACTGAGGGACAGTAACATAAGCCACAGAGTTGTAATTCTTGGGAAGGTACTTGTTGTTAGGAATAAGGTTAGTTGTGGGGGTGGAAGGTGGCAATTGACCTAACTCATGACCATAAACATCATAAGCATTTTCATTTTTAGGAATGAAATTTGGTTCTTGGTTTTTGTTTGGAGTTACTACTACTTTTGTTTCTTTTTCAATATGATCATTGTTAATGTTGGTGGTGTGGATTTTGTTGAAGAATTGGCTGTCTCTAGCATGAACTTGACATGAAGATAAGAGAGTAATTAAGAGGAAGAAGAAGAAGGATAAATGATTGGAAAAGAATTCCATGGAAAATGGTTGTGTAAGAGATAGAAATGATGTCAATGAATTGTATTGTGCTAAGGTTGGTAACTCTCTCTTTATATAGAAACTTTGTGTCTTTTGAGTGTGTAGTCTATGTCTTCTCCCTGTAATAGTAACTTTCTAAGTTCTTTGTACTTTAATTTCCTTTCATCCTCTCTTTTGGTTTGGGTTGTTTTGATTTTGGGGTGGGGGTGGGGGTGGGGGTGGGTATGGGGTGAGAGAGTGATTAATTTAGAGGTGGTAAAATCAGACCATGATAATATGATTCGTTGGGTTACTCATTGATTCGTCTAATTATTAGCTCAATTTAATCTATTTAAGCTTATTAAAAAAGAGTTGAAAGAGTTGATACGTTGGTTCAAATTTATCCATGAAAAATCTTGTCAAAATATTTTCTTTATCTGACATGTTATATATAGCCATAATGAGGAGGAGGGGGGAGGGATAGTTATTAGGTATTAAATATTATAAAAGATCAAATAATGAGTTTGTTATTTACTAGATCACAAATATTTTTGGAATACCTCTGAGAAAGGGATACACCGTTAATTTTAAAATAACTGTTATTTTCCACCTCTTTCAGATACGAATCTATCTTGAAAGGAAAGAACTTGCATTAGTAGCTCAATTTCCATCTTTTATTCAAAGTTCAATGCATTCACTTATAGGAAAGGAACATGAGATGAAGGGTTAATTTGTCTTAGTGTGAGGGTGTGGCATGCCATGTTTATAAGAGCTAGGCTTACAAAAAAGTTATAATTTAATATATTTATAGAGGGAGATAAATTCAAGATTTTAATTTTATAGATGAATTCAAATTTAGAATTTTACAATTTCCTATTCAAATTTAGTTGGTTCGAAATATATTACTTGTATTTGAAAGTTTATTTAAAGTAACTGAATTTAGATGAACGTGTAATAGCTTGTCGATTAGATTTACGCCGGAATATATCCTTATTTCTCCATTTGTAGTTTTGCACTAGACGTGGTAGGGCAATATAAGGTAAGGTCTAGAGCAACATTCACACATAAGTAGTTATATTATATAGTTTGGGAGATTTTTTTTGATACATAACTCATAAGTATATGATACATCGAACGACTTTATCTATTTTTGCATAGGTAATTAAATCAATCATTTGTCCTTGAGGATTCGACTTTAATCCTCTCATACCTACTTATTGATGTACCTCGAACGACTTTATCTATTTTTGCATAGATAAATCAATCATTTGTCCTTGAGGATTCGACTTTAATCATTTGCGGTTTGATTCGGTTTTCGATTCGATTTTGTACACCCGTATCCATAAGTATAACAAATACTGCAACTACACAAAAGAACTAGAAAAGATTATATAGCAAAAATTAGGCAAATGTTAAAGTTACAAGTCTCTCTTATGGTTTTATTTTATAAAAGAATAGACAATCTAGTTCTACGAACATGCTACAAAAATTTTCCGAAAATGAATCTACACGATGACTTCATATCGCCAACATCATTGACATTACTATTAAGAAATGGTAGAACTAGAAGAAGCAGATTCAAGATTTAAACTTGATAGGTTCATTCTTTGAGATATTTTAAGCACTGAACTCATTGTACTTCTAAAATTACGGGTTTAAAAAAATATAGTACTTTTTTTTTTAATCTATATTCCATATGTCGAGAATATTGAGTTCAATTGTCATACCCATTGTTTGAAAGCTCCATATGCGTCCGCCTTCTGAGTATAACGATATGTCTATTGGTTAGGATCTCTTTGTATTTCTTGAGCCAACTCCCTTGTCAACTTGTCAGCGCGATCATCTTGTCCACCAGCGAAACTATAGACTCTGAACGCGAACTGGAAGGCCTTCCATAACAGTTTACGTGATCCATTTTTCGATCCACCTCTTCTGTTTTCCTTTGTCTTTGCTTCTCTACTCTCCTGATTCAACATACAAGTAACTATAAAAAAAGGTTCACTAGATCATCATGGACCGGTTATTTTCACTAGAAATTATACTGCATACGACATATTACTAGCTAGCTACATTGTACTAACCTTCATGGCAAGTTCCATGCAGTTTGAGGAAACATCTATCATTAGTTCTTTGATACGAATGAGGATTCCGAAATCAAAATGAATGTTATGGCTTATAAATTTCTTGGCCTCTTCGTCTTTTGTTCGTTCCAATGTGTCAATTTCTACTTTGATCTACGCGACAGAATTATTTGTTAGAGCTACTATTATATGAGAGTATTTAAATTCAGGGACTTTAGTAATTTGTACCTTGTTAAAGTAACTCTCAGCTTTGTCAAGGTGTTCGCCAACAGGGGAGACTATCGACCAATTTCGTAGAGTAGTGGCTATTGTGTCTAACTTGGAATATAATGCTGCTCCCATTCTGAGTTCTTCCAACTTTTTCGTAGGAAAATCTTCAAATCTTGCTAGCACCTGTAGCAAGAAAGGTTGAGGCCAACATCGTCATATGGGAATAACGGAAGAAATATGAACTAAGTAGATAGATACTTCCACTGTTTCAATTTGTTTGTCTTACTTTCCTTTTTAGTCCGTTTCAGAAAGAATGTCACTTTCTTTAATTCTAATTTTCTACGTGACATGTTTAAGACCACGAAAAGGGCATTTTGGTACATTCTACATATCTTATGTTTAGGACACAACGTTTAAAAGTTTTCTTTACTATCTTAAACTCAATGTCAAGTCAAAAACCAGACAAACAAATTGAAACGGAGGGACTATATACGAACCTGAGATTCATCGGTTAATTTCTCAAGGTGAGATTCTACATATCCATGGAACTTAATGAGCTCGGACATATCTGATGTTTTAAAAGAAGTAATGGCTGTGTTTATCTCCTTGATTGTTTTCGCGTAATTTTTAACATCCTCTTCAATTTGATGGAAATATGCTGACCTGATACAAACATTGCACATTTTAAAATATAACTCAAACTCCTGAAAAATGCGAAATTCCACAAAATAATGAGTGAAGATTTTAAACAAGATTACCTCTTTGTCATCTCTGCTAATGCATCAGCCATTCCCTGTTTACCTCCTGCTGAGGCACCAACTTTTCCCATTTTGTGATGTGATGTACTATCTAAACTAGAGCCTTCAACTTGGAGCTTGAGAAGTCGATAAAGATTACCCATTTGCGTTGATCTTTTCAATTTAGTGGCTGCTCTCTTGACTCGTAACACACCTATAAAACCTATTGGTGGTGGAGGTGCCGGTCCTTTTCCCTTTGGCATGGGTGGAGGTGGTGCTGGCACTGCTCCATTTGAAGCCATCGGTGGTGGTGGAGGTGTCATACCCTTTGATCCAATGGGAGGTGGAGGTGGAGGTGATATTACATTTCTGGATGTCATGAGAGGCTGCGGTGGTGGAGGTGGAAGTGTTATTATATGTGTTGTTGTCTTAGGTGGCAATGGAGGTGGTGGAGGCGGAGGCTGAGATGGAGGTGCTATTACATTTCCTGATGTCATGGGAGGGGGTGGAGGTGGAAGTGTTATTATATTGGTTGTGGTCTTAGGTGGCAATGGAGGTGGTGGAGGCACCATCATGGGATGTGGTGGTAGTGGGGGCGGAGACGGAGGTGTAACTATGTTTCTTGATGTCAAAGATGGTGACTTTATGACATTTGAAGATAATGTGAATGGTGCTAGTGGAGCTGCAGCTTGTTCTTCGATGTTTGATCTCAACTCGGGGAGTGTAGATGGAGGTAAAACCAAGTCTAACGAGACACGACTTGACAATAGCTGATTATTTGTAGAACCAGTCTGACAAGTTCCTCCGTTTTCTGATACATTATCCATATCAGTTAGTAGAATATCTGCTGAGTCCAACATTTCGAAATCTTGGCCAAATTCATAAGCATCCCCTGCTTTCACTTCAGAACCAACCTTTGCTTGTACTTCTGATATTTGCTCACTGAAGTTGGTTGCTAGCTGAACAACATAATTTGGATCTTGATCTATTGCATAAGGGAGCAAGTCGAAATAGAGGCGTTTTACATCGATAGGATTCAACTTCTCAGTTTCTTTAGCCTTGAGTTCACTCTTCAGTGAAGCACTAATTGCTGAGGAGAGGACTGAAGTTGGGGTAGGTGGAGGGCTTGAGAGGGAAGACTCGTTGTCCGAATGAGACTCCGGAAGAGCCCTCCCAAATGCATCGGATGAAGGACTTTCATCTCTCGTCTGGTCATCCTCGTCCATCATATCAAACACCCTTTCAGTGGCTAGTTTAATCATCTCGTCAAGCAATACCAATCCTGAAGAGTAATCGTTGAAGATATAATTAAGTAAATAAAACACGTCATATCTACCAACTCAAACTACCTATCAAACGAAACAATAACACAATTCAGTACTCAGAGCAAAGAGGTAAATAAACAACGTCTACATAACATTATGACGTACCATAACGTCTTAGATCAATGTGGAGATTACTGTACTCCTCGTCCAATTTCGTTATGAATTCATCATCACCCGTCCATATTGCCCCGATTGATTTCAAAGTATCACAAAAGCATTGTAGTGCCTAATATAAACATGACAATTTTGTGAACAAACTTACAATCTGCTATAGGAAAACTGTTTTAAGTGTATAGTACACAATTCAGTGAGTAAATAGGTAACCTGATCCATTCCTGCTCCATCAATACTTGACAATGGAACATTTGTGTTGACGGAAGGATGCATTTTATGCAGATCCTTCAGTGTTAATATCAGCAACTGTCGAAAATTACTCATATATAAGAGGAGTTAAAAAGACTTGTCATTTTTCTTATCTTAACTATACAAGAAAACCGCGAATTGCATCAGAAGTGACAGAACAATACCTCATTTAGGGATGCAGAGCCAAAACACGGCGATAAGTCAAGCAAATCTCTCAAAGTGAGGATCTTGCTCCTGAGCGCTGTCATTATAACGAAGTTGCCTGCCACCCCACACGAATTGTGAACTCTGGAGCCTTTGGTTGCACTTGCATTAAAACTTTTCGAGACTACTATGGAGGA